CATGGATCCCATCTATCCACACCCCACAGCTCCCACACATCCCTGTCCCATGGATCCCATCTATCCACACCCCACAGCTCCCACACATCCCTGTCCCATGGATCCCATCTATCCACACCCCACAGCTCCCACACATCCCTGTCCCATGGATCCCATCTATCCACACCCCACAGCTCCCATGCATCCACGTCCTGTGGCTCCCACACATCCCCGTTGGTTCCCCCCCATGGGTGGGGCCACACTGAGGGTCCTGGTCCCTCTCCCCCCCCTCCAGGAGGACAAGAAGATCACCCATGGGAACGTCTCTGCCAAGAAGGTGCTGCTGGCGCGGGAGGGGGACGCGGCCACAGGGACCCCCCCGTTCATCAAGCTCAACGACCCCGGGGTCAGCGTCACCGTCCTGGCCCAGGACAGTGAGTGCTGGGGGTCCTGGGGGGTCTGGGATTGCTGCCCCCCCCCCAGGTGCTGAGCAGGGCCGTCCCCCCAGTGCTGGTGCAGAGGATCCCCTGGGTGGCCCCTGAGTGCGTCCGGGATCCCAAGAGCCTGGCACTGCCCGCTGACAAGTGGAGCTTCGGGGCAACCCTCTGGGAGATCTTCAGTGGTGGGAACATGCCCCTGAGCCTGCTGGAGCCCCAGAAGGTGAGGCTGCCCCAGCCCCCTGCATCCTGACCCTCCTGATCCTTCCCAGTGCATCCCAACCCTCCTGCCCCGTTCCATTGCAACTCGACCCTTCTTCTCCATCCCTCCTGCCCCATCCTGCTGCATCCCATCCCTCCTGTCCCATCCTGCTGCATCCCACCCCTCCTGCCCCATCCCACTGTATCCCACACCTCCTGCCCCATCCTGCTGCATCCCACCCCTCCTGCCCCCTCCTGCTGTATGCTGACCCTCCTGCCCTGTCCCACTGCATCCCAATCCTCCTCTCCCACCCCTCCTGCCCCATCCTGATCCTCCTGCCCCACTCCACTGCATCCAGACCCTCCTGCCCCATCCCTCCTGTCCCGTCCCTTTCCATCCCAAACCTCCTCTCCCCTTCCATTGCATCCCAACTCTCCTGCCCCGTCCTGCTGCACCCGGGCCCCGCTCACTCCCCCAGCTTTGGGGCTGTTCAGGGGCTGTTCGGGGCGGCCCCAGACACCCCACAGCCCCCCCGGGCCCCCCCTTCCCGCCCCTGCAGAAGCTGGATTTCTACCAGAGCCGGCTGCAGCTCCCGGCTCCCAAGTGGCCGGAGCTGGCCACGCTCATGGCCCAGTGCATGGAATACGAGCCCCAGCGCCGGCCCTGCTTCCGCGCCCTCATCCGCGACCTCAACAGCCTCATCACCTCCGGTGGGCCCCGGGGCTGGGGAGGGGGGCACGGGGGACCCCCACAGCGCCCTCACCACTCACCTCCCCCAGACTACGAGCTGCTGTCGGACCTGTCCCCCGCGGACGTGGCGCTCCGGGACAGCCTGTGGGGACACGAGCCCCTGGCCGTGAGCCAGGACCCCGAGCACTTCCAGGAGCGGCACCTCAAGTACATCTCACTGCTGGGAAAGGTCTGGGCCCTGAACCCCAAACCTCAGTGCACCCCCCCCTCCCTCACCGGATTCGGGGCGTGGAACGTCCCTGCTTTGCTGAGAAACGCTTGGATTGTGCCCCGAGAGCGGGATCTTGGGAGGGATAACAGGCACTGGGAATATGGGGGGAGGGCTCTGGGGCACATCCCTCGTCCCAGCCCGGCCCTCCCCACCCCACGCAGGGTAATTTTGGGAGCGTGGAGCTGTGCCGCTACGACCCCCTGGGGGACAGCACGGGCGAGCTGGTGGCGGTGAAGAAGCTGCAGCAGGACTCGGCCAAGGAGCTGCGGGATTTCGAGCGGGAGATCCAGATCCTGCACTCGCTGCAGCACGACTTCATCGTCCGCTACCGCGGCGTCTGCTACAGCCGGGGTGAGCGCGGGGCGGGCAGGGGGGCGGGCAGGGGGCGGGCAGGGATCCCACACCCCGGCTCTGCCCAAACCCCCGCCGGAGGGTGACGGATGTGGCTCCAGGATGGCGGGGGCTGCGGCTGGTGATGGAATTCCTGCCCAACGGCTGCCTGCGGGATTACCTGCAGAAGAACCAGCCCCGCCTGGAGCACAGGGCGCTGCTCCTCTACGCCTGGCAGATCTGCAAGGTGGGGGCGCGGCGGGGGTGGCGGCAGCGGGGGTCCTGCTCTTCCCGGGGGGGGGGTGGATCAGTGCCGTGGATCGCCCGGGGGGCCGTGGTCCAGCCGGGATGAGCCCCCAGGGATGCTCACTCAAGGGGCCGTGGTCCGGCTGGGATGTGGTTCAGCCCCCCGGGATGCTCCGGGGTCCCGGTTCCCGTGAACGTTCCATCCCGGCAGGGCATGGAGTACCTGGGGGCGCAGCGCTGCGTGCACCGGGACCTGGCCAGCAGGAACATCCTGGTGGAGAGCGAGAGCCACGTCAAGATCGGGGATTTCGGGCTGGCCAAGCTGCTCCCGCAGGACAAGGACTATTACGTGGTGCGGGAGCCCGGCCAGAGCCCCGTCTTCTGGTGAGAGGGGGAGCGCGGGGGGGGCGGCACGGGGGGCTGCAATCCCAGCTGGGGCCGGTGCTCAGCGTCTCCCCTCGGGCAGGTACGCTCCTGAATCCCTGGCAGAAAACGTCTTCTCCTGCGCGTCCGACGCCTGGAGCTTCGGGGTCCTGCTCTACGAGCTCTTCACCTACGGCAACAAGAGCAAGAGCCCCTCGGAGGTGAGACCCCCCCCGGGCTGGGGTCCCGCTGCGCCCCCCTCCCCGGGGCTGGGCTCCGTTACCTGTGGTAGGAGCCCCCCCGGCTGACCCCGGTGCCGACGGCCGCCCCCGCAGGAGTTCCTCCGGATGATGGGCACCGGGAAGCCGGCGCAGATCATCTGCCACTTGCTGGAGCTCCTCAAGGACAACCGGCGCCTCCCGGTGCCGTCCGGCTGCCCCGCGGAGGTGCGAGCCCTGCCCGGGCTGTTGGGGGTCCTGAGGGGGGTCCTGGGGGTCCCCCCGCTCCCCTGATGGCCTCCCTGTCCCTTGTCCCCAGGTCTACTCGCTGATGATGAGCTGCTGGGCCTTCACCCCCGGTGCCAGGCCCACTTTTGGGGAGCTGTCCCCCAGGATCGAGGCGCTGCGGGATGGTCGGAGCAAAGCCCGTGGGTAGAACCCCCTCCCCCAAAACTCCCCCCTGGCTGGGACCCCCGGACACCCACCTCCCTCCTCAGCACCGTGTGGCCACAACGATGCTTCAGGGAGCTCTGAGGGGCACAGTGAGGGGGGGACAAGACCCCCATGCCCCTCTCCCATGGCACACAGACCCCCCCTCGAACTGCCCCTTGGCTTCCCCCCTCCCCTTCTCCCTGTTCCTGCCTCCACCATGGCAAATTCGGCCTTATTTTATTAAAGTTTGGTAAATTTTCCAGCTGGGGTGAGGTGAGGGCGTGCCTGGGGAGGGGGGACACGTGGGGAAATGGGGTGTGGGCGTCTGGTTGCTGTGGAGCTGCTGGGAGAGAGCGGGTGCCCGTGGCACATCCCGGTGAGGGGGCCCCAGCTTGGCACTGTGGGGTCAACGCCCACCCCAGTGGGCTCAGGGGATTCCTTTGCTCCCACCCTGAGCCCATGATCCCCCCCAAAACCAGCCCCCTCGTCCCTGCACCCCCTCAGAAAGGCTCCAGACCCCAAATCCTCATTAGCAACACGCACTCGTTTCTTCTCCCTCTGCCGCCTTTGGCCACGGGAGGGCAGATTTGGGGTGAAACCAGACAGGAACAGGCCCGGAGCAGCACGGAACTGAGTCTGAGAGCTGGGATTCAGCATCCCAGACACCACTCTGCCCTCCTGGAAGGACCATCCCTGGGGTCCCCCTTCCCAGTACGGAGCGGCAGCCACAGGGGTTGGGAGGGAACCACAGCCCAGGGGCTCCCGGGGTGGTTCCTGCCAGCTCTGGATCCTCCTCAGTGGCCCTAAAAGATGCTCAGACCCCCTAGAAGATGCTCCCCCAGCCAGGGGTGGAACAGCACCTGCCCCAGCCCCAGGCTGCAGGAGGTGTCCCTGAGATCCCACCGCAGCACATCCCTGTGCTCCCGCCGCTGGCTGAGCTTCCCAGCATTCCAGGGGCTTGGGAACACCCCCACGAGGCTCCGTCCGAATTCCTGCCCCAGGTCCTGGGGACCAACTCCTGCCTCTCAGAGCTCACCAGGGGTGATTTAGTGCCCAAGAGGAAGAAAAGTCAGGGGACCACTGGGGCCCCCCCGGCACTTGCCAGGGCCCGGAGCAGCACCGGGAAGGACGGGCAGCTCGGAGGAACTGGGAATGTCGTGCACCAAGGGGGCGGGCACGGCCCCAGACCCCCCCAGAGAGACCCCCCGGACCACCAGAGCTCCCCCAGTGCCTCGGTGCAGAGCCAGTTCAGTGCCACCCTCACACTGAGCCTCTCCTGGAGCAGTGATCCCAGTGGCACCAGTATCCTGTGGGAATCCTCCCCCTGCCCGGTGCCAGCCACCCACCCACCCTCGGGCACAAAAGGAGGTTATTAGAAAATAAAGGTTATTAGAAAATAAAGTGTTTAATAAAAGAGCAGCTCCTGCTCCCTTCACAGCACGGGGGAGGGCGGAGGGGGGGTCTGACGCGGTGACAGCCACGGGGAGGGGGAACAGGGAGAGGAGGAGGAGGAGGAGGAGGAAAAGGAGGAGGAAAAGGGGGGCTCCCACCCCGCAGCACCCCCTCCCCTCCCCAGCCGGCCTCCATCCAGTGTTTCAAGTTCACACAACCAAGGGGGAAGCCCGGGGGGCTCGGAGGGTCCGGCGGGAGGTGGCTCAGGACCCCGCCAGGTAGATCCCTGCGGAGGAAAGGTGGTGAGGAGGGGTGGGGGGAACATCCCTGGCACGAGGATGGGCATTGCCAAGTGGCCAGGGCTCAATGCCAGCACCAAGCTGGGCAACCTGCACCCTCCCGGGCTGGGCATAGCCCAGTGAGGGAGAACTGGAGTTTGGGGACAGGGGAGGGGACCCCACCCACCCCAGGGTCACAGGGAGCAGGGAAGGGACTCCGGGCACCCTGGAAAAGGGATCTCATGCACCCCAGGGCCGTGGGGAGCAGGAAGGGACCACTGTGGACCTTGGGGAAGGAACAGGGAAGGGCCCCTGTGCACCTCAGGACACAGGGGATGGGGAGAGGACCCCCTACCCACCGAGGCTGTGGGGAAAGGACCCCACGCCCCCGGGGTGTGCCCCCTCCCCAGCTGTACCTGTAGCAAACCTCTTCTTGACCAGCGACATCCGGTACCCGGCGCTCGCCAGCTCCACCTCCACCCCCGACAAGGTGCTGCCCTCGCTGCTGAACTGGGCGGCCACGGGACTGGGCTTACTGGGCCCCCCCAGGGGCTCCCAGCTGGCCGAGAGCCGGCCACAGCCTGGGGGGACAGCGGAGGGGTTGGGGGGGTCTGGCCCCTGCGCCCCCCTGCCCCGTGCCCTCACTCAGGGTGGGCACAGACTCACCTCCCTGCCCCGGGGCACCGGGGACGTCCAGCAGCTTCCAGAGCAGCCTCTTCTCCTCCAGGTTCCTGCCGGGACACGGGAGTGCCCTCAGACCCCCAAAGCCCCTCCTTCTTCATCCTGAACCCACCTCCCTGCCCTCCTCACCCTGGCAGCACCCCCATTTCCCAGCTCAGGGTCTCAAATTCCCAGTTCAGCATCGCCATTTCCCAGTCTGGGGTTCCCCTCTCCCATCCTGGAGGGGTTTGGAACCCCACATCCTGTGTCTCCCACCCTGGTGGGTATTTCAGACCCCCAGTCCTGTGTTATCCATCCCGGAGTGGTTCAGGATCCCAGACCCCGCACTTCCCACCCTGGGGACGATTGGGACCCCCACTTCCATGTTTCCCACTCTGGGCAGGTTTGGGACCCACTTCCCACTCTGGGGGTGGGTTGGGACCCCCACTCCTGTGCTTCCCACCCCGGGGAGGTTCAAGACCTCCAGTCCTGTCCCTCCCAGCCCGGTGGGACTGTGACCCCCAGTGCTGTGTGTCCCCCCAGTGCTGGTCCCACCCCCTGCCCCGGTACCAGCTGGCCGCGGGCTGCAGCCGGAGGTTGGTGAGGGGCTCCTCGACGGGCAGCAGGACGTGGACGTTGGCGAGGGGCACGGGCAGTGCCAGGGCGCCGGCGTTGTAGCCGTAGTCGACGCTGACCCGCGTGGCCCCGGGCGCGCAGTCCCAGCGCACGCAGAGCCGCAGCGGCGCCGAGCCGGGGCCCAGCCGCGAGAACTGCGGCACACGGGGGGGCTCAGGGGGGCACCCAGACCCTCCCGCCCTCCAAGGGGCTGCTGGGGAGGGTCCCGGCTCTCCCCACACCCCCCCGGGGCTCACCTGGTACTTGAGCAGAGCCACGTTGTAGTAGGAGGCGGCCGGGCTCTGCTCCGCCTGCCGCTGCAGCTGCCCCGTCAGCGCTGCCATGTTCAGCCAGAAGTCCCTGGTGCTGGGGTCGCTCTGGGAGGGGTCGCTGGGGGCACGGGGTGAGAGGGGCACCCCCAGAACCCGCACCCCCACACCCAGCTGCACCCACCGGCTCCCCAGGACACCCAGACCTCCGGGGACCACACGTACCCCACCGCCAGCCCCCCGTGGCTGCGCCCACCCTCTCCCAGGGTGCCCGTGCCCCCTGCCCCGCTGCCCCCCACGCCGTGCAGGGTGCCCCCGTGGCCCCCCACCTGTAGAGCAGGTCGGTGTTGGGCAGGAAGTGCTCGATGGCCCCCGTGTTGAGCAGTCGGAAGCTGAGCACGGGGGGGGCCGCGGTGCCGCTGAACACGCGGACGATGCCGGCGGGGAAGGACATGGTGAGCTCCCCCGTCACCTTCACCAGGCAGCTGCTGGGGACAGGCCGGGGGTCAGCGGGTGGCCCAGGCAGGACAGAGTGGCTGGGGGACCCCCAGGACCTCCCCTGTACCTGTCGGCGTCGCGGCCCTTGAAGTAGGCGTGCACGTACTCGGTGAAGGCGGTGGCCACGGGCAGCGCGTCCTGCGAGCCCAGCACCACGGGGCTGGGACCCCGAGACAGCCCTGGGGGGGGCCAGGGGGCACACGGGGGGGTCAGAGCACGGGTGGGACCCTCACCCCACGCCCCACGAGCCCCCCCAGCACCCACCGAGGGCCGGCTGGGACACGGCGAAGAAGCCGCGCTCGCTCAGGCTGGCGGGCGCCGAGTGCGAGGGGCCGCAGCTCCAGGAGGGCGAGGGGCTCAGCGAGCGGGACTGCCAGGGGAGACAGGGGCAGGGAGGGGGGTCTGGGTTCAGAACCCCCCTATGGGGGGTCCCAAAGGCAGGCCCTGAGCCCCCCCCAGCCCCGGGCACGCACCAGGTCACTGTTGCTGCCCACGGCAGGGCCGGCCGGCGGCCGCTTGGCGCGGGAGCGGCGAGGGGGGGCCACGAGAGGGACGTCCCGGGGGGCTGCGCTGGGCCAGGCGGGGAGAGAATCTGGGGGGGGGGCACGAGTAGGGGGGTGAGGAGAGAGCCCTGCTGTGGCAGGACACCCAGGGGGGTTCCTGCAGGGGCTCATCAGTGCCGTGAGTTGGGCAGGTCTCAGCCCCGTTCTCAGCTGGGTTGGGAAGGGGAAACGTTAAGGGTAAAGGGGGGGGGAAATAGGGGTAATGGGGGTCACAGGTAAGGGTAACAGGGGCAGGGTTAAGGCACTGGGGGGCAGCTCCCCCCTCCACTCACCCGGCTCCGACTGCGACGTGGGGGCCCCCGACGTGCCCCCCTCACTCAGCCTCGTCCCCGACCCTTGGCAGGTCCACGGAGAGGGGCTGGAGGACTCCCCCCCACTCAGGGGGGCCGGCGAGGAGGAGGAGGAGGAGGCCGAGTTGGAGGAAGGACACGTCAGCGGGGGCTGCTCCCCCCCGGGGCTGCGGGGTCTGACCCACGGCGGGGGCTCCCCAAAAGGGTCGGGTGAGGGGGCTTCCCGGGGGGCTGGGCCGCTGAGGCAGCGGCTGCGGCCCCGGGGAGCAGCCCCCCCGTCCCCCCCGTCCCCCCAGAGCCCCTCGGCCCCGGGGCCACCAAACACGGCGAAGTTGGGGGGCTCGGGGAGGCGGCCGGAGGGGCTGCGGGGCCGGGGGGCCCAGGCACCGGGGTCCCGGGGGCTGGGGGGCGGGGGGGGGTCCGGGAGCCCGCCCTGCTTGGGGAGGGGGCTCTGCGGCGTCCCCGGCTGGGGGGTCCAGGGTCTGGAGTCCGGGGAGGGTCCAGGCGCGGGGTGGGAGGGCGAGTCCAGGCCAGAGTCCTCCACGTTCTCCGGGGAGGAGGAGGAGAAGGGCGAGGAGGAGGAGGTGAGGACGTAGGCACGGGGGGCTGCGGGAGAGCCCCGGTCAGAGCACTGGGGGGGGAAACACACCAGATATCCCCCATCCCACCCCCCAAATCCTCACCCGGGAAATCCTCGGCTTCGAACGCCGACTCCAGGGGGGGCCCGAACAGAGCGGAGGGGGGCACCGAGTCCGGGGGCATCTTCCCAGGGCCGCTGTGCCAAGGACAGAGGGGGCGGCTCAGTGCCCACCCGGGAACCCCCCAAGGATGGGGGGACCACCCCATGGCACCCCAATGTCTCCCTGACCCCACGTACCTGTTCACCTGTGCTGCGGGGAGACCCCTCCCTGTGCTGTCACCTATGGGGAGAGGGGACACTGCAGAGCCACTGCACCCCCCCCAAGACCCCCAAATATCCCTGGGACTCCCCCACACCCCCAGGACCCCCCAGCCCAGCCTCACCCGCCGCCAGCGTCCCCTCGGGGTCCGTGTCACTCGGGGCCGGGGTCAGGGATGCCACGTGTCCTGCAGAGGGACAGGGACAGGCAGCGTTAGGGGACATGGAGCCACGGGGACCCCAAAGCTGTGGGGTGGCTCAGGAGGGCTGGGATGTCCCCAGGGTCTGGCACATCCCCACGGTGACACTCACGTGACGACTGTCGCCTGACGGTGCCCTGCAAGAGAAGGGGACAGGGGTCAGGTGGCCCCGGCGGTCCCGGGGGGTCCCACGGCCTCCCCCAGCTCACCCCAATTCCGGGGGGAAGGATGAGGTTCCCCACGGTGGCCTTGAGCTGCTCCACGGAGGCCTCGGCGCTGCCGGGTCCCTCCCGGGGCTGCACGGGTTTGATGTGGACGTAAAACTTGCGCGGTTCGTCCTCGTCGTAGTCGGAGTCGCTGGAGGAGCAGCCGGGATTCTCCGCCTCGGCTGAGCCCCCCGTCAAGGCAATTCCCGGTGCTTGGAATGCCCCCTGGACACCCCAAAAATCGCCCCCCCCTGCCTGCCCCAGCCCAAGGATACTGCGGGCGATGTCGGGGCGCACGGTGAATCCGTCCTCGTCCACCTCCGGGCAGCCCTGCGGGACACACCCGGACAGGCTCTGGCTTCCCAGCGCTCCCAGCACGGGAGTGCCCACGGCGTTCCCAGGGCTGGCACTGGGATACTCACCAGCATTCCCAGGGCTGGCACTGGGATACTCACCACGTCGTTATCCGGGGATTCCCTGGGGAGTGACGGGGGGAAGCGTCAGATGCTGAAGTGGGATGTGGGATGCGGGGATGTGGGAATTCAGGGATGCAGGATGCAGCATCTGGGAGTGCAGGGATGCTGGGGTGTACAGTATGGGGGTGTGGACATACAGAGATGCAGGGATGTGGGAACTGAGGGAAGTGGGA